TTTTCATGCCCTCCCCTTCCCCCTCACTCCTCACCTTCCACCCTCTAGTTCCCATGCACGTGCACCCATCACTGTCTCCCCATACATTATTTCATCATGTGCGCTTGCTTGTGTTCCCTTGCAGTTGTTCCCTTGGCACCTCACACCACCTCCCCCATGTTCATTCACACAATTCTTTCTGCCTACTCCACTCCCCTAATTTTCAGTGGTGAAGCAGAAGAGCAAGCTGAGGCGCAGCTAAAGCTAGTCCATGCTTTACACCGTACCACCACCTGTTTCTTGTGTGTTGTATGCAATCATGTTCTGCGGGGGGGAAGGAGGAGAGGACAGAGGGGGGAAGGAAGGGTGATATACCAGTTTGCGATAAATTCCCCTAATTTCCCCCCAATCCCCCCTCCGCTCCCTCTCATTCCCCCCTCTGCTCCCTGTCATTCCCCCCCCCCCTGCTCCCTCTCATTCCCCCCTCTGCTCCCTCTCATTCCCCCCTCTGCTCCCTCTCATTCCCCCCTCTGCTCCCTATCATCCCCCCCCCCCCCCCTGTTCCCTCTCATTCCCCCCTCCGCTCCCTCTCATTCCCCCCTCTGCTCCCTCTCATTCCCCCCTCTGCTCCCTATCATCCCCCCCCCCCTGTTCCCTCTCATTCCCCCCTCTGCTCCCTGTCATTCCCCCCCCCCTGTTCCCTCTCATTCCCCCCTCTGCTCCCTCTCATTCCCCCCTCTGCTCCCTCTTATTCCCCCCTCTGCTCCCTGTTATCCCCCCCTCCGCTCCCCATAAATTACAGCTCTGCTTTCCCATCAATTCCCCTACTGCACCAGGTCAATACAGAACCCCCTCTGCTATAAAATAATTTCCCCTTGTGCTCCCCATCAATTTACTCACTCCTTCCCCTCATTTCCCCCTTTCCCTCCCCTCCTTTTCAGCCTCCCTCTTCTCCAGCTGCTTCAGCCTTGACACTCAGGATTTTGTCAGAACTGGTCCGCCACGCATGAATTTTGTTAAGCTTTAGCTATTAAATAGTACCGGTTTGACAAGTACCCATGACATGTATCAATGTTGGATGCTTCTTTATAAAAATCACTTCAGTGTTTAGGATACTGAACTGAGCCATTCAGTTGATCACTACAAAGAAGTGCAACAAAGGTTTCCAGACAAGTCACCTTGCCTTCCAGACACAGCAGGTGCAGCAGAGGCAGCGAGGGAGGAGGGCAGGCCATAGCTGCCCTGGCGCCACCCACCCCCCACCTGCACCACACGCATCGCCTCATACCCCGCCACTGCCCACTCCCCCTGCACGCCCTGACTCGAACCAACTGCGCCCCCCACTGCCTTCTCGCCTCCACTGCCAGCATCTGCATCAGCAGGCTTTGTGTGTGGCGGCAGTGGCAGGAGGGCTGTTGCTTGTGTGCGACCAGGTGCGATGGCGGAGAGGGACGTCCACAAGCAGATGGACGAGAGGGCGTATGGCGGCGTGAAGGCGGGTGGGGGTGGTGAGGTGAGGGTGAAGGAGGGGGGAGTGGCTGGTAGCAGCGGCTGCAGATTCCACTGCACAAATGGGTTCAGAGCGGTGCAGTTGGTGTACGGCTCTCCTGAGGGAGAAGGATGGGGACAGGAGGGCAGGAAGAGGGATGGGGTAGAGTGGAGATGAGAGGGGAAAGGGGAGACAAGATGAGCACTCAGAAATAGAGCACAGAATCAAGGCAGAGGGTAATCAAGTGGAGGCGAGGAGGCGGGCAGCGAGCAGCAGCGAGTGGCCCACAAGCGCTACTGAAGCATCCACCCTGCTTCATCCCCACCTCTCACCTTCCCCACTGCCCTGGGAGCGGCTCTATAACCCCCCCCTCCCGCCCCTTCCCACTGCTCAGCACCCTGTCCTCCTTGTGTTCTGCCACTAAGCAGTGGCAGCAGGCAATCATACATCATGGTGATAATCAAGCACAAGGAATTCACCCACTCAGCTCGCACCCACACCACCATCCTTCCAAAACCCATGCCCCCTCTCCCCTCCTTGGCCTGCCCGCCGCGCATGCTCCTCCCACACTATCTGAACCGCCTTGGGGTTGGCCCCCGCTGCTTCTACCTCTGCTGGCTCTATTCCCTGGTGTGCAAGTCATCTCACTGCCTCCCACTGCTGCTTGGTCACTGCATTGTGTAATGGAGTCCCTGGGGGAGGGCAGAGGGCGGAGGGCAGAGAGCGGGGGGCGGATGGTGGATGAGAGAAGGCGGAGGGATACAAAGAGGAGGAAAGCGGCTCTGGAAGCAGATGCAGAGCCAGAGCAATTCAAGCGGGGTGCAGAGGGCACCGCAGGGTAGAGCGCATGAAGGCAAGAGGGCTAAGAAGCTGGGTGGAGAAAGAAACAAGCGAAGCACTTTCTACCGTTCTTGCATTGAACCAATCATGGCACTCACAGCCGCAAGGCACTCACAGCCGCCAGGCACGCACAGCCGCCAGCAGGCACATGCAGTCCACGTGGCCGCCATACGCCGCCACGTGCAGTGGCGTGGTGGCGTTGCGCGTGCTGCACACCCCCGCTGGCATGCCCATGCGCAACAGCGCCTGCAGCTGCAGGCACATGCATGGGAGAACGGCGGGGAGGGAGAGAAGCGGGCAGCAGGGTGAGTGCGGTCCATGCCTGCGACATTATTGAAGGTGCATGTGAGTGCAGGCACGTGGACGGGGAGGGATGAGTGCACACGCGTGATGGACGGTGGGTTCAGAGAGTGTTGAGCGGGCTGCATGGCTGTGCTGCATGGGTGAGAGCTGGTGCATGGCTGTGCTGCATGGGTGCAGGCGGGGAGGCAGGTGAGACTGACCACGGGGGAGTCACCATTCCGAGCAGCCACATGCATGGCGGTCCAGCCCCACTTGTCCACCACGCCACTCAGCCCCTCTGCTGACTCCACCCCGCATGCCCGCACCACATGCCACAGCCCCTGCCCCTCCTCCTCCCCACCACCCTCACCACTAGTACATCCCCTCCCCCATGCACTCACCTCCCTGTCAAAAGGGACGACGTCTCTCTTCCCCCTCCTCGGGCAGCACCTGCTCTCCCCCTCCATTCCCCCTCCCCATCAACCCGCGCCTTATTCCGCCCACCCCTAATCTCCTTCCGCCCATCCCTGATCTCATTCCGCCCTTCCATAATCTCATTCCATCATAACTACTCGCATTTCGCCCATCCGCAATCTCATTCCGCTCTTCATACTCTCATCCCTCCCTTCTTAATCTCGTTCCGCCCTTGTTCCTCTCATTCCGCCCTTCTTCCTCTCATACCGCCCTTTTTCCTCTCATTCCGCCTTTCTTCCTCTCATTCCGCCTTTCTTCCTCTCATTCCGCACTTCTTCCTCTTATTCCGCCCTTCTTCCTCATTCCGCCCTTCGTCCTCTCTTTCCGTCCTTTTTCCTCTCCATCCGCCGTTCTTCCTCGCATTCCGCCCCTCGTTCTCTCATCGCGCCCTTCATCCTCTCATTCCGCCCTTCTGCCTCTCAATCCGCCCTTCTTCATCTCACACCGCCCTTCCTACCTGTTTTCGACGTTCCAAATCGCATTACGCAAACCCTAAACTCATTCCGCACATCCCTACTCTCATTCCGCCCGTAGTAGTCGCAATCTGCCCTTCCTAATCTCAATCCGCGTTTTCCACTCTAAATCCGCCCATCCCGTCTCTCATTCCCGATCAAGGAAGATGCTCTCATACTAATCGTAAACGGGGGAAATAATGCTTAGCTGGCTTTCTATTTCGGTGTTACTACGGCTCAGCGACGGGAGTATGGTTGCTTGGCGTGGGCACTCATTTTCTGACTTCACACTTCTGTCAACCTCAAAACGTGATTGCGTCGCCAGGGTGGGTCGCATAGTTCTCAATCAGACGCAAACCTGTCCCCCAAGGCTCGTCTTACACCCAAACCTGCCCACCCAGGTTTGTTTTGGCCTTGATTGTTGGGGAGTTCGCTGTGTTCTTTTCACCCGCTCGTGAAAACTTTCGTCATTCGTTACCCAATCACGGACGGGCAAACCCAACCAGGTGTTAAACCTTTGGAAATTTGAGACCCGAGCTTTAACCCGTCGTTTGCCGTTGTGGCAGGCAGGGGGGAGGGAACGAGGAAACGAATTGCCCCCCGTACCACCTTCATATCGTCCTTAGGGCGTGAAACATTTGCAGGTGATTGCGAAAACCAGTTGCAGAGTTGTGGTTTCAGCGAGAATCGAGTAACGCAACCCAAGACAGTTCTGGAACGTGGATTGCGAAATCGTTCGTTGGGCCTTCACGTGGGATGCGCAACTCATTGGCAAATAGAATGCAGGGTGTTCCGACTCCGAACTTCCGAGACCCCGATGCAGTTCCGTGGCGAATTCCTCAAACCACTTTCGAGATTTCGCAAGTTGAGTTTGCGAACATTGCGCGACGTCGGGAACCACCCTGAGCAGTGCAACTCCGCAACCGGTTTCCGCGACCGGACGCAAAGTTTCCACGCCCTTATCCCTCCGTGAAAGCAAGGAGCAGGGAGCGGAGTGGAGAGAACCAACGGATTCAGCTCCGCTCCGCAGTCGTCCATAAATTGCTCCGCGATCCTCAAGCCGCTTGTTCCTTGGATTCTCGGTGGTAGCGCTGTTCTTTAGTGTGTCTCGGTGCAAGCGGATCTGAGCAGGGCTTAGCGCCCAAGGGCAGGCAGCGTTCTTAAAACGAAGGGTTCTACTGACTGGGTCTGAATAAGAACATATTCAAGCTCGATACCCTTCGCGATGAACCAAAACAGCAGCAAGGAAAACCGCAGTGACTGCCGCAGGAGAAGTATCTCAATAGTTGACAGCAGAAGTGACAGCCGCGGGGTTCGACGGAGTTCTCGACATTTGTAGATCAATCCCTTCGATTCCGTTTCCGTGAGTTTCTTCTCGTTAGAAACCTCGGTTCTAGCCATTCGTCGACCCATTGGAGCACCTCGCCTAGAATAGTTCCGAGCTATCTTGTACCAGGGATAAAATACCGCAGCATTGATTCATCATGGCGATGGAATTGGCGCGCGAGCGGACAGTCTCCGCCTGCCTGCCCTCCGCCTACCGCCTCTCCTACCTCCTCCTCCGCACCATTCACCGCCATTCTTGCGCCTCCGCGCCTTCCGCCACTTCCCCTTCCGCCCCTCTCCGCCTTCTCGCCTCCCCCTCCCCCTCTCCGCCGCTTTCCCTTCCGCTGTCTGCGTTTCCCGCGCGCGCACCCGTCTGCATTCCCCCTTCCGCCCCGCGCGCGCCTGACGCTCCTTCCCGTCTCACTTCCGCCCCGACTTCCGCCATCCCTTCTATTCTAGCCCCGTCCGCTTCCGCCTTCCCCCCGCACGATTTCCCCGCGCCCCCGCTACAATCACAACCGCAAAGCACATTCCCATGCCGAACCTGGCCGCAAAACTATCGAGGTTCGGCAGCCTCGGTCCTCTTCTCCCCTGTCCGTACCTCCAGCTTCGGCATCCCCGCCGCAAGGAGCTTCACCGCAGCAGCGGACGGCGCAGCGGGAAACGCGGGGAACCACCAGCATAGTCCGGGAGTAGTCGGCATGTCGGACGATCGCGAGGCGGCGTTAGACTCGGTAGTTAAAGTGTTCGGCGTCGCGAGCAGCCCTAACTACTGGCTTCCCTGGCAGAGCAAGCCGCAGCGCGAGGTGACGGGGTCCGGATTCGTCGTATCGGGACGGCGCATCCTCACGAGCGCGCACGTCGTCGCGGACCACACGTTTGTACTCGTTAGAAGGCACGGATCCCCTAAGAAGTTCCTCGCTACTGTAGAAGCTGTAGCACACGATTGCGACCTGGCGCTGCTCTCAGTGAAGGACCCCGCGAGCGTGGGCAGCGGGGAGGGGGGGATCAACGGCGGGGGCAGCGGGGATGCGCGCGCGGACAGCGAGGAGTTCTGGGAGGGCATGCGCGCGCTGGAGCTGGGGGACGTGCCGCTTCTGCAGGAGTCGATCGCCGTGGTGGGATACCCACAAGGTGCGTGACTGTGGGAATGTGGTCAGCGAGGTCAACGAGGTCAACGAGGTCAATGCCCACCCACGCACCCCTCCCGGCCCCTCGTGGGGGGACAGCATCAGCATCACCATGGGCGTGGTGCACAGCGCGGCTCACTTTGCTGCCCATTCATACTGTTCCCTCGCTCACCTCTCCCTTTCCCACCCACCACACCACCACCCCGTGCCAGGCGGTGACAACATCAGCATCACCATGGGTGTGGTGTCACGGGTGGAGCCAGTACGTGCACAGTGCGGCGCACCTGCTGGCCATTCAGATCCACACCTCTCCCTCTTCTTCCCAACACGTTCCACCGTCCCCTATGTCAGGCGGTGACAACATCAGCATCACCATGGGAGTCGTCTCAAGAGTGGAACCAACTCAATACGTGCACAGCGCAGCGCACCTGCTGGCCATTCAGATCGACGCTGCCATCAACCCCGGAAACAGCGGTGGCCCCGCCCTCATCATGGCCCCTGCCGCCCCTGCCGCCGCCCCTGCTGCCGCCGCACCTCCCGCCCCTGCCGCCCCTGATGCGGGAGGGGAAGGAGTCGAAGGGGGGATGGGAGAGGGAGCGGGAGGGGTGGAAGGAGGATGGGGGAGTGGCGGGGAAGCAGGGGGGGGAGGGATGGGGAGAGGGGTGTGGGGGGAGGGGGGGGTGAGGGGGAGCAGGGGGGCGGAAGGGGCCCAGCAGTTGGAATACCGCGTGGCAGGGCTGGCGTTCCAGAACCTGTCAGGAGCGGAAAATATCGGGTGAGTTGCGGATTTATCAAGGGTGGTTAACAGGAGTGGAAGGCAGCAGGCAGAAGTGTTGAATGACAAGGCTGATATTTCAGAACCTGTCGGGGGCGGAGACATCCGGTAAGGCGGGCGGGGTGGTGGGGTGAGTTACTGAACGAAACGAGCTGATAGGCTGTTGGAGCAAACCACTCACTTGCATGCGATCCCATGTGAGAACATTGGCTGGGGCAATGGGGCGGGGCAATGGGGCGGGGCAATGGGGCGGGGCAATGAGGTGGTAGGGTTATGGAACGAATGGGGTGACGGTGGGTGTAGGGTGCACATGCTTTGATGTGGTTGCAGTGAGGGAGAGGGTGGCTGAGGGGTGGTGCAGGTGAGGGGAGGTGGGACGCTTTGTAGGCTTTCATGCGGCCTTCAGCAGCTCCTAGGGCCCATGCTGCCCTACACATCCCTTTGCCCCTTTCTCTCACTCACTCATTCCCTCCACCCGACTCCATCTGTCGTTTTCATCACCTCTCCCTTCGTCCCAGTGCCCATCATTCATCGTTTTTCATTCTCTCGGAATGGTCTTTCATTGAATAGAGCATGTAATACAGCACGGTATTGTATAACGGCAAGTACAGGCAAGCATGGTAAGGGCCTAAGGAAGCTCACCTTCCCCTCCCCCGTTCTTTCCCCCTCTCAGTATCCATCGTCTCTCACTTTCTGTTCTCCCCTTTCCTAGTATTTCTGCTTCTTACGCACCCCCACTTCCCCCCACCCCACCAATCCCCCAGAAGCTACATCGCCCCAGCACTTATTATCCCTCTCTTCCCTTTCCCTGCCCCCTCCCTCCCCCCCCCACCCAGCTACATCGTCCCAGTGCCCATCATCCGTCGTTTCCTAGCAGACGCATCTCTAGGGCACCGCCGCTTCCCGAGCTTTGCCTCGCTAGGCGTGTCGTGCCAGCCGCTTGAGAACTGCCAGGGCTGCTGCGTCATGCCCTTTCTCGCTCTGCTGCTGCTTCCTCCCCATCTTCTTTTTCCCCTCCCTTCCCCCCCTCTCCGTCCCTTTTCCTCCTCTCCCTCCCTCCCCTCTCCACCCAGCTACATCGTCCCAGTGCCCATCATCCGTCGTTTCCTAGCAGACGCATCTCTGGGGCACCGCCGCTTCCCGGGCTTTGCTTCGCTGGGCGTGTCCTGCCAGCCGCTCGAGAACTGGCAGCTGCGGGCGCACCTCAAGATGCCACGTGGTGCCACGGGAGTGGTCGTGAACGCGGTGCAGCCGCTGAGCGACTCCAGCCGCTGGCTGCGGAATGATGATGTGCTCACGGCGTTTGACGGCGTTCCCATCGCCAATGACGGGTCAAGTGAGTGCTTGTTGAGTTTTTAGTCTGAATCAAAACCATGCTACAACGCACTTGTTGAATCGACTCACAAGTCAGCTCTACGGAATGGTGACGTGTCCACGTGCCCCCCTCTTCCTCCTCCCCCCTCTTCCTCCTTCCCGCTCTTCTTCCTCCCCCCTCTTCCTCCAACCCCCACACCAAACCCACTCCCACGGGCCCCCCTGTCATGTTTCGCAAGAGGGAGCGTGACTGCCTCGTGTCTCTGAAACTACAGAAACTTACCTCTCGCCCCCTCTCCCCATTCCCCCCACCTCTCCCTCCCCAGTCATGTTCCGCAAGAGGGAGCGGCTGCCATTTGACTACCTCGTGTCGCTCAAGCCAGTGGGGGAAACCGCTCGAGTGTCGGTGCTGCGGCACGGGCAGCCCATGGACTTCCACATCCGCCTCAACCCGGTACGTGCTCTTCATGACTGCTGCCTTGCCTTCAAAAGACAGACAGACAGCGTCTGTCTCTGTGAGAGTTCCTCCCCCACTGGACAACCAGGTCACGCATGTGCATGCTCGACAAGCGTAGCCTTAGCTTTAGTAGTTGCATTGCAAGCAATAACTAGCTCCACTTGCTTGGAGTCCAACAATGGGGCGCTAGTCGAAGCTTCTAGTGGCAACAGCAGGACTGTTGTTGAAGCCACCCATCCCATCCTCAAGCATTTTCTCATTCCAGTCAGCGACTGGTTGACTTGATCGCCAACGGTGTGCATGCGTTGCGCACTTCAGTTCAAGGTTGGAACAAATCGTTGCTCTCAGCATCCCACGTCGTTCTCGCCCCCCTACCCCACCCCCCCTACAGCAGATTTTTCCCTCTTTCCCGGAACTTTTTTTCCTGCCTGAGCCGGCGATTTTTTCACCTTTTTTGCAAAAGAGACATTTAGCGAATAGCGTATTTACGCTTGCGTATTATACAAGAAGCGCGTATCTGCGGACGTAGCCCCCTCAGTACCAGTTTCTTTCTCTCTGGCTCCATTGCAGCAGTTTCACATCTTGCCCGTCTTCCGTCCATGCTCTGCCATCCTCCATCTCTCAACCGCTGCCCACTCCACTCCTACCAGATCCCAGCACTGGTGCCAGCGCAGCAGTTTGACATCTCCCCCTCCTACTTCATCTTCGCGGGCCTGGTGTTTGTGCCGCTGACCCAGCCCTACCTGCACGAGTACGGCCCTGACTGGTTCAACAGCAGCCCGAGACGGCTGTGCGAGCGCGCACTGAGGGATATCCCCTCCAAGCCCAGCCAACAGATTGTGATTCTGTCACGGGTGAGTAAGAGGAGGGGAAGGAGGGGATGGGGAAAGGCTGGAGAACGGGATTCCGTCGCAGATGAGTGGGAGGAAAGGGCTTGGGGAAGTGTGCTCGTATCTTGTTTCCTCTTCCCACTCAACCCCCACCCATTCCCTCGTTTCCTTTCCCTCTCTCAGCATGTGTTTCATGCCCACCTACCTGTCGTTCTTGTCTTCACTCTTATCCCCACAAGCCCGCTGCTCTTGTCTCGTTCGCTGGTCCTGTGCCTGCCCTCAACACAGCAGGTGCGGGCAGATGAATGAGGTGAACTCGTGAATCGTTCCCCTTGCCACTCATCCCCCACTCATTCCCTCCTACCCGCCTTCTCATTGCCACTCATCCCCCACTCGTTCCTTCCTCCCCCCCTTCCCATTGCCACTCATTCCCCCATCTCCTGTTCTCTGTCTCGTGCCCTTCTTTCCCTCTCACCCCCCCTTTCCCTTCCCGTTGCCATGCACTCCCCCTGCGCGCATCACGGCAGGTGCTGGCAGATGAGGTGAACTCCGGCTTTGAACGGCTGGCGGAGCTGCAGGTGAGGGGGAAATGCTCTGCAAGGTGAGAGGGGGGAACTGTGCACGATGGTGGGGGCGATTCTAAGGAAAGGTGGGAAGCGAAAGGGCGGGTGGTGAGAGTGGACAGATGAGTACGGGGAGCATGTGGCAGGTGAAGTCAACTCCAGCTTTCAGAGGCTGTAATTGCCTACGACCGGAATTGAACCGCAGAGCTGAAGGCGAGGAGGGGGTGTTCTGATGGGGCGGGGCACTGCGGCACTTTCATGTGACACTGACCGGTGGACAGTGGAGGAAGGGGCTACTAGTGGGCGGTTCACATGCACATGGGAATGAAGAGAATGTGTGCACATGACATTTCCAAGCGAGCACATGTCACTTCCATGCGAGCCCATGTCACTTCCATGCGAGCCCATGTCACTTCCATGCGAGCCCAGGTCAAGCGAGTCAACGGCAAGGAGGTGGACAAGTTGAGGCTGTTGTATCTGTGTGGAATCCTCGATGGTGCTTCCCCCTGTATGTTGGTCCCAACCTAACCACCCTTTGTTTATGCCTCTCCAGGTCAAGCGAGTCAACGGCAAGGAGGTGGAGAACTTGAGGCAGCTACGTGACGAAGTGCTACAGTGCACGGACGGCTTCGTCAGATTTGATTTGGACGACGACCGCGTGATCGCTGTCAGCGTAGCTGCTGCCAAAAAGGTAAGCTAGCAAGAACGTAAGAGCACCCACTGCTTGGTGAGCACCCACTGCTTGGTGAGGCTGAGCCAAACAGCCTGATACCTGTCAAGAAGGTTAGAGCACCCTTAAGGATGAGCCAAACAGCCTGATACCTGTCAAGAAGGTTAGAGCACCCTTAAGGATGAGCCAAACAGCCTGATACCTGTCAAGAAGGTTAGAGCACCCTTAAGGATGAGCCAAACAGCCTGATACCTGTCAAGAAGGTTAGAGCACCCTTAAGGATGAGCCAAACAGCCTGATACCTGTCAAGAAGGTTAGAGCACCCTTAAGGATGAGCCAAACAGCCTGATACCTGTCAAGAAGGTTAGAGCACCCTTAAGGATGAGCCAAACAGCCTGATACCTGTCAAGAAGGTTAGAGCACCCTTAAGGATGAGCCAAACAGCCTGATACCTGTCAAGAAGGTTAGAGCACCCTTAAGGATGAGCCAAACAGCCTGATACCTGTCAAGAAGGTTAGAGCACCCTTAAGGATGAGCCAAACAGCCTGATACCTGTCAAGAAGGTTAGAGCACCCTTAAGGATGAGCCAAACTCTTAAAACGCCATTTTTTGTGTGCACCGTAATGAGGCCGTTTGTGCGAGTTTTGAGAATTCTCAAAAGTCGCACCGCAATGAGGCCTTTAAGAAGTTACCCAAATCTTGCAGCGTACCTCAGCATCTCCCTCCCCTTGGCTGGTCCTTCCCCCGTTCTGCACGATCATCACTCTCCCCCGTTCTGCACGATCATCACTCTCCCCCGTTCTGCACGATCATCACTCTCCCCCGTTCTGCACGATCATCACTCTCTCTTGCTCTGCATTCTTGTCTTACACTCTCTCCCATTGCATCCTGCTCTGCATGCTCGTTTTATGCTCTCTCCCATCGCTCTCTCCCATCGCCCCCTTCCTCTGCATTCTCTTCCCCTCCAGATGAGCTACTGCGAGCCATGTGCTTCCCTCTCGTTCTCTGACCTCCTCCTTCCTCTGTGTGCCCACCCCCATCCAGGCAAGCGCTCAGATCCTGAGGCGCTACCGCGTGCCGTGTGCTTCCTCCTGGGATCTGCAACAAGGTGACGCAGAGAAGGGCGAGGCAACGGTTCAAGCAGGGGCGTCTTGAACTAGGCCAGGGGGGAAGGGATCAAGCTGGGACGTCTTGAACCAGGCAATGGACGACGAAGTGTTCAACATGGGATGTCTTGAACCAGGCCAAGGGCAGAAAAGAAAAGGGTTCAAGCAGTGCCGTCTTGAACTGGGCTGGGGGGGGGCGGTTCGAGCAGGGCCGTCTTGAACTGGGCTGAGGGGGGGTTCAAGCAGGGCCGTCTTGAACCAGACCAAGGACAGCAAGGTTCAAGCAGGGATGTGTTCAATGAGGACAGCTTGAACGGGGGCATGGCATGGGCAAAGAATGGATGGGAGGACGGGTCGGTGGACAAGGGATCGTCTGGCAGTGGCACCTACAGCTGGGGAGATCTTAGGGTGGGGGAAGGGAAGAGAAGTAGGGGTTGAAACAAAAGCATTTGGAGCTGGGTTAGGTGGTGCTGGTTGTGGGATGATCAGGGCCTTTTCCTGGGACTTGGAGCATGGAGAATTATGAGAGAGGAGGTGGTGTTGGCTCACTCATGCAATAGCTGCCTGAACGGGTGTAAGGTTACGAAAAGAGTATATTGACCACTTCTTCTGGAACTAATCGTGCTAGTGACATGAGTGAGAAGATGGGAAGCTGTAAGTAGGTTTTGCAATGCATCACATAGGACCTCGCAAGTGCTGGATGTGTATCATCAGCACACATGCTGCGAAACAAAAGGTGGATTCCGTTGCCGGGACTTGAACCCGGGTCTCTCGGGTGAGAGCCGAGTATCCTAACCAACTAGACTACAACGGATATGCTCTACATGTGAACAAAAACATATAAAACGTTCAACCATTCACCCCATACAACCCAAGACCTTGACTTAAATGAGGGTCAGGCAGGAAGGGACCATTTTGAAATGCGTTCAAGAAGGCTAGGAGACTGACCAAAAGGGAGAGGAATGGTTGACGGAGAACTCTGGCGTGCGTGACTCTACTCGAATGCATCTACCTCATAGCTTCTTGGTCGACCCATCTTGTCTCCTTCCCTAGCTTCATACCGTATGGCCCCGGATATAGGCGCCGTCCGATTAAAGGCGCCGGCGCCTCTATCTGGAGCATGGCGCTTGCTGCGATCAGAAAGAGATCGTAACCAAGATCACCTCAGGAAGGTTCGCACACTTCTATTCTAGTGGTGGTGGGCCCTTGACCTCAATAGCAGAGTGAATGTAAAATGCTTGAGATGATAAAAACATGCAAATACAACGATATAAATAGGAGTACAGAGGAATTCGAATCGACCTAGCTAGCCATGTACTCTAAGGGGTATATTCCCTTATTCAAATTCATTCCCAACCGTGCGGTACGTACAGTTACGAAACTGTTCCCGCCAGAACCCTTCTGCCTGCAACTGCCCGATGCCGCCTGCTGCGACGGTCCAGATGCATCCCAACTGTCTGACGCTTCGAGTCAATTCTGACTCTTCGCATTCGTTCTCGATACTGCATGTTTCCTTTGGCTGCGGTCGGGAGTTTACTGTAATTTTCATTCATTGATATTCGTAACACCCCCCTTCACTCCTGGGCGCAGCTCGCCTTGACCTGCTTGACCACGCCGCTGAGTTCGGAACAATGCTGATACTGCTAGCGTGGCAGTCGCTTCGTGAGAAAGTCTGTTGCCATGTCGCCAGTCGGGCAGTAGTTCAAGTCAACCTTGCCTTTGTCCACTTCGTCCTTCACAAAGAAATATCGCAGCGCAATGTGCTTGGTGCGGTTGACGAAACCAGGTTTGTTCGCGATGCGAATCGCGCTCGCGCTCTGGTTGTCGCAGTGAAGACGAAAGGTGGGCGAAGATGGAATTTTCGCCTCCTGCAGGAGTTCATGCAAGTAGAGGCCTTCGCGAACTGCTGCGGTTGCTGCGATGAATTTCGCTTCGGCTGACGACAGGGCAACCAGCTCCTGCTTCTGCGAGTTCTAGGAGATTGGTCCCGTTGGTTCGAGTCGGAACAGGAAGCCAGTCCTCGATCGTCGATTGTCGGGATCTGTTGCGTGATCGGTGTCCACGTAGCCGATGAGGTTGAAGGATGGGGTTGGTGCAGTTGAGTAGCACAGCCCAATCTTGGGCGTTGAAACGAAGAACTGTAGGGCACGCTGCAGGTCCAGAAGATTCTCGGCCGTTGGTTTGCGTGAGTACTGGGCCAGCTGACTTGCGATGTAGGAGAGGTCTGGCCTGCATGTGACAGAGGCAAAGAGCAGGCATCCCAGCTGCTGCTGGTAAGTCTGAACTCCAGCAGGGGATAGGGCTTTGTTGTTAGGTTTGTGGTTCGGTCCCGGAGTTCGATAGGGAGTTGAGAGCAGTGCATGCGAGATGTTGAACCGCTTCCCTAACTCCTCTGCGTACTTAGCCGCTGAAAGGTGAATGGTCTCAGGTGCGTAGGAGATGTTGAGGCCTAAGAACTGCTTCACCTCATAGTTGCATGTGATGTCGACGCGCCCCGCCAGAGCCTTCTCGAATTGCTCGAGCAGTTCGTTGCTCGATCCTGTGTAGAGTAGGTCGTCGACGTAGACCGTGAGTAGAATGTATTCGCCGCGGAAATCGCGGCGATACATTCCAGGATCGTGCGGCATCTGCTTGAACCCGATTTCAAGCAAGATGTTGTGCAGATACTTCTGCCAAAGCCTTGGTGCCTGGTTTATCCCGTACAGAGATTTGCGCAGCTGACATACGCGCGAATCCCCTTCGCCGTATGTGTGCGGCTGCTCCACGTAAATCACGGCGTCTACTAACGCGTACAGGAACGCGTTTTTCACGTCGATCTGGCGTAGAGGCAGGTGCCTTGCGGCTGCGATGGCGAGCAGGATTCGGACGGAGGTGTGGCGGCTGACCGGGGCGAACGTCTAGTCGAAGTCGATGCCGTGCCTCTGGTCGTATCCGCGTACCACCCAACGCGCCTTGAAGCGTTCGACCGTTCCGCCCGCTGCGGTCTTCACGCGAAAGACCCATTTGCCCGAAAGAATTTCTGCACCTTTGATTGCCGCACGGTCGACTAACACCCAGGTGTCTCGAGATTCGAGCGCCTTGATTTCCGCGTCCATCGCCTCGCGCCATTCTTTGCTGTGTGGTCCAGTGAGAGCTTGGCGGGAGTTTCGCGGCTCGATGACACGTGGCGCCTTCGAGGTTGCGGTGTGAAGCCCGAGCAGCTGTAATCCTGAAACGGTGCTGTCGTGGCGACGTTGCGGGATGACTTCCTGCACATCGTCATCATTGCTTTCTGGTTCAGGTGGTGTGGGTGGTGCTGCGCCACTGCCGCTTCCGCCTGTTCCGCCCATTCCTCCTCCGGAGGAATCGTCGTCGTCGTCGCTGCTGCGATCTCCCCGTGTGAACTCGCCCCTGGTGTCCTGCTCCAGGATTGCTGCCGCAGCTTCGTCCTCGGGCGTTGCGTAGCTGTGCCCATCATTTGCATAAACACGGTTTGCATTCGTCTGCTCGTCGTGGCGGAACTGGTCGAGGAAGAGGCGTTCGTAATCACGTCGCGAGTGTGGGTGGTCTTATGACTGAGCAGGTCCAGCACGATCCAGGCCTTGTGCTCGTGGCTGATGCCGAGATGAATGCCCCAACGCGCGCGGCTGGCGAATTTCCCGATGGTTGACGTTGGCGGGCGGTATTGGACCATGCACCCCCACACGCGGAGCATGGACGTGTCCCCCTTAGTCCCGGTCCACTTCACATGCGGGGACAGGTTGCCAGTGATGGTGGTAGTTGACAGTAGGTTGTGCACCCGCATGGCGTGGTGCATCGCGTAAGTCCAGTAGATCGGCGGCAGTTTTGACTGCTTCATCAATGCTCGCACCTTCGTCATCAGCGTGCGGTTCGTCCGCTCGGCTACGCCCTGCTGTTGGTGTGCGTAGGGGAGAGAAATATGGTGCTCGATCCCCTTTTGCGCGAGGTAAGTCTGCATCTGATTGCTCCTGAACTCCTTTGCGCCGTCGGATTGCAAGATTTTCAGCTTCTCCCCAGATTGCCGCTGCGCGTGTGCAAGCCAGAGGCGGAACACCTCATAGGCTCTGTCGCATGATTCAACATTTACGATCCACACATAGCGCGTCCCGGCGTCGATGAAGGTAAGTGTGTACATTTCGTCGTCGACTCCACTGTGCCCCACATTCAGGAAATCGCTGTACACCTTGTACAGCTTGGGGTAGCGGTTCGTCCCTGGCTCGAGCAGCGGGAACGGCTGGTGGCTTAGCGCAGCTTCGGGGCAGACGGTGCAGTTGCGCGGATTTGTCGTGCCTCTCACTTCGGTGCCGTCTGGGCGTAACAGCGCCCCAGGAGCGAAGACTCCTGCGTCGATGCAGTTCTTCAGTGTCGCACGCGAAGGATGTCCGAGACGCTGATGCCAAAGCGCATCGTCAGCGCGAAAGCCGGATGTGCGCATGTAGCGTGCGCGAGCTTCTTCGAGATCCTCATCAGGTACAGGGGCAGGTGCTGCTGGTGCTTCTTCTGCTGCTTCATCTTGGTCGTTGGCGGTAGTCAGCATCAGCGCCAGAAACTCTCTGTCGCGAATCTCAGAGAGGGGGATGTTAGTCCCAGGGATAGTTCCCAAGAAAAAGGTCGGTTCGCGCGACTCAGGAGCAGGCCCGTAGATGGTGCGACGCGGAGTTGACGGTTCGTTGCCCCAATCGATGGTGTCCTAGGGGTCGCGCTGTGGTGGGTTGTCAGGAGGAGGTAATGCGAGTGGAGCGTGGCGCGGGGGACAACCAAGAGGAACAACTGCAGGTGTTACCTCAGTTTCCTCTGCTTCATCCTCTCCCCCCTTTTGTTCTTCGCGGAAAGTCCCCCAGCCGCTGTTGTCGGCGCCAGTTGCGGCGCCCCATCCCCCGCTTGCGTTGGCCCAGGTTCCGCCGCCGGTTCCCCATCCGCCGGTATCACTCGTTCCCCATCCACCAGCGCTTCCCCACCCCCCTTCATTGGAGGCGCTTTCTTCCGCTTCGGCTCCCCATGCGCCGCAAGCGAATGTCCCGCGTGCTTCGGCGAGGCTTTGTTGGCGAA